AACACATGCACTAAAATTGCTCAAAGAGTGATAGAGGACGGGCCCTCTATTTGGCATTTCAAACTCACAAAACAGGACTGTTCAGCAGAGCCTTGAAAACTTCTGGCATCACTTTGTGTGGGAAACATTGTGGTCAATGTCACAGACTGTAATTTTTAAGTAACCAGCCTCAAAAAAGTCGCGTGAATGAGTGTGATGAAATGCATCAGTTGTACATTTACAATAGACCACTCCTTTAAGACAATGGGAGTGTACATTAGTCTTACATACACCATCCAATTCAGTCATTAATTTCAAGCCAGCTCTTTTATAGTAGTTGTTTCTGAATTATTACTTGGAAAAAAAAATAAAAAAATTCTTTACTCAGAAAATAAAAATGTAGACTATTCTAAGTGGGAAAGGATAAAAGTAAAAAGGCAAAATATATCTGCAAACTTCTAAAGCAGGAAAACAAAATTACTGTATCATGACCGGATGTATTTAAAGAGCAGTGAAATATAGCTAAATGCAAATAGGTATGCACAATCAGGAAAATAGACATATACACTCAAGCATGGATATACCTAATGTCACATCCTCCTGCTTTGCCAACAGAATGGGGAAAAAAAAAAAAAAAAACTAAACCTGATACAATACATTAGCAAGAAGTCTCACGCTTACCTGAAGCTTAGGCAGCTATTTGTGGAGTTCCAACTTTCAGCTACTTTTAGTTACGATGTCAAATTTAAAGACTTTTACCACAAAACTATCTGTTGCTTTAGAATTGTTTGGCTAGCTTTCAGGGTGAACATAACCAGGTTCAAGAGACGTGGTGTTTTGTATCAGACCAACTGGCTTTAAAATATTCCACATGCTAAGGATTTAAGGGAAAAATCAGGCTACTGAAGACAGGTTTACAGATTGCTTGGAAGCATCAGTGTAAGAAAAATTAGGTTGAGACAAACTAGTGTGTAGGGAAGGACACCCCTTGCAATCTGCAGACAGGTATTTTACAACCCCCAGCACACATAGCTTCACAAAGAATGATAAGCCTAAGCTTTAAGAAGTGCTAATATTATAAAAGTGATTTGGTAAAGCCTTTCATTCTCAAACAGTTGGTCTCTTGACAACGTGTCTCTGAAGCTCCTAAGCACACATATAATAAAAACCTCATCAAGAACAGATCCCAGCAAAGGGACAGATATGTGGTTGGAAGCTGTGAAAGTTCACACTTCAGAAAAAAAAAAACAAGCTAACGAACTGCTGAGCCCTGTTAATTGTTTCTTTAAAAAAAACACCACAACCAACAAACCAAAACACAAGCTGTAAATAGAATCTAAAACTTGGACTGATCTGTTTAAAGCAGGTTTTATAACCTGTCATAGATCTTTTAAATAAAAGTATTTTGATTACAATTTTCTTGTTTCTAAAGCATCTGAAATCTGGATAATACTAAAATTACAAGCACACGCGTGCTCTTAAAAAAAAGTTACAAAGAAATAGTTCTGTCAATTTTCTTGTCCATAGACTACACTCCACATTCAAACTTCTGATAGACTTGCACAGAAACACATACACAGCCAAGACTAAGCTATTATATTAAGAAGTTTCTTTTTTTTAAAAAAAAAAATTATGAAATCCACCTGGCGCTTGAACCAGAGCCTAACAGAAGGCAGCGCATGCGCGTGAGCGGGACGAGCAGAGCCAGCAATGCCCTTCCAACACCCTGTCAAGTACACGGGCTCTCCACAGCAACAGGCAGCTTGCACCACATGTATTTTTAAAGGAGCTGTATGCCTTACAAGAATACCATGTCTTCTGAAAGACGCCAACTGAGACGATCTTGTTTTCATGAGGCAGAAGAAAGCAGTAGGACAGCAAGCAACAAAGCCTTTTTTTTTCCCCCCCTTTGAGAAGAGGTGTGAGAAGATGCACATTGAATTCCTTAAACATAATTTACGTTTTATTGTTCCTACAGCACAGCTACATTAGAGTCAAGCTCACGCATGAAGTGTCCTACAAGGACAACTTCAGACCACCAAGCTCTGCTCCTGTGCTGGGAGCACAAAGAAGGATGCAGCCAAATGGGCGCTGAATCACATTTCCTCCAGGGGCTAAGGAACCTTTCCAACTGTTCCGGGGGCTTTCATTCAGTCCTTTAACAGCAGAGATGGACAAGTTAGCAATGGATCACTTCACAGATTTCACTAGCTCTGGAAGTCAAATTAAAGAACTGAGCTGACAGAAAAGTTTGGCTTTTTTTCAGAATCAACTGAAGAGATTGTATCTCTTGCAATTTTAAGGTGCCCGTGTTGAGACAAATTTAAAGGAGCAGTTCAAAGAAAATGCTTAGCCTCTGTTTTCTTAAATCACTGTGATGAGTCAAAGTACGTATCTCAGTATATTTAAAAAAAAAAAAAAAGTTTTCTCCAGCAGTTTTTTAGGCCTAGCAGTACAAGGAATGAATAGGACTCCATTCCCAAAATCCTGGAATTTGCCCTTAACTAAAACCATGAAGAGAACTGCAGCCAAATTCACTGATGCACATAGCCAGCTTCAGAGTTCCTCAGAGTCCCAAGTTTTACAGCCACCAAACAAATCAATCTCTTTCTTTTACTGGCTGTGCATAAAACATAACATTTGCTTCAAGAAGAGCTTGTCTAGAAGTCTTTTGAATACAAAACAGGAAAAGGCACTGGTGGTGCTGGGGAAATGACACAATAATATATTTTTTTTAAAGCGTGCTGACCCGTTAGAGCTAAAACACCCATCCCTGGCTGTTTACTCTATTAATCCAAAAGAAAGAAAGAAAAAAATGCAGTCTTTGGCAATCTAGGGCTCCTAATCATTAAGTCTAACACAGAGCAGCAGAACAATAAAAAGAGCAATTGCATTGTAAATTTATGTACCATGCACAGGTTATGGAATGTAGTGCAACAGGGCACTGTGCAGTGATAAAACTGCATTCCTTACAAAGTTAACAGCTTTAAGCTCATGATTTGTACATGTGGGCAATACTGAATGACCTTCATGCTTTCCAACACTCACAAGAAGGCAGATTTATTTGCAGTCACAAGTCAGCTGTTTTGTTTTGGGGGATAAACATATAGTTGGAAGAACAAAGGTTTAAACTTAGCATTAAGCAGCAAATGCAGATGCCAGTGCATCAGATTTAAAAGGTGAATTTGAAGCCCATATTCCAAAAAACAGAGTAACATTAGCATCTGTGTAAACTCTGACAGAACGGTTGTTTGATGCTTTTTTTTGGGGGGTGAGGGGGGGAGGGAGGGGGAAGGAGTGAGAGATTTTCATATCTCAGTTCCATTATACAACAGTAGCCTCTCTAACATTTGCCTTAAAATTTAAGAAGTCCTGTTTCACCATAAGACACACAGTGTTCACAATGCATAAAGTTGCACTGCTCTTAGTTCAGGGGACATAATACAAGACTAAGTGTTTTCTGACAAAGAAAATCCATCAGACTATTTTACGCAAGCACTGCCTGTCTCATAGTCTCAATTTTCTTAGAAATGAAAATTTTTTTTGCAGAAGGTGGTCACTGAACCGGACTGCAGTATCCTAAGAACACTATTATTAAAACAGCTAGCAGCTGTAGCAGCTGTTCATTGCACCAAAACCAACCCCAGTAGACAGTCAACAGTAAAATGTGGCTTTTTTGTTTAACAGACCAAGGTGATAACCTTAGATTATCTAAAACTTCCACATCATAGCTGTTATACTGCTGAAAATGAAGTCCTAATATAGATTAAAGGGAAGTAAAGAGACAACATTAAGCAGAGCTATTTCTGGATATGCAGGGACATAAGGGAACAGCACAGGAATCATTATATTTCCTGCATATCCAGAAATAAGACAGTTATGAAGGCTATGGCTCCTGACGTTCCAAAAACAAATGGCAAAGAAAATCTCATTTACAAGCATTTGCTTCTGGGTTTCGATTTCCCAGAGTTGCAGTAAGGAATTTAATTGTTACTTCACAACCTGAAGTGCCCTCTTCTCAGGTACCTATACAAAAAAAAAAAAAAAAAAAAACAAACACCACACCACAACTGCTAAACAGGATGACACAGTTAAATACTGAACACAGAGCAGGTTTGAGTACAAAGTTACCAAGGGAAGCACACAAGGCTTTGAGACAATCTATAACACTACACAGGTCTTTCTAAAAGGTTAATGGTTTGCTAGCTAAGTGCCAAGGTTCACAAAATGGGTATATATTTTTTGTTTCTTTTTTTTACATGAGATTTGAACTTTGAGCGTTTTTCCTCAGAACACTAGTAAAAGCTCAACAGCAATCAGACAGGCTCGGGGTACTTTCCTTAGAAGTGTTTTCAAGCACTTTGTTAATAAAATAAGAGACCAAAACAAAGCCTAAATTAGGCTCAGCCCTTTAGATATATGCTTCAGTTTGCTGCTCCTGGGTCAGGCAGCATGACAGCAGTCTGAGTATAGTACTTGGATGACTAACACCAAAACGGGTTGAAAGCAGCAGCAATCATGACAGAGACAATAAAGACCCCAGCAATTGAGCACCACAGCTCCAATGAAAGAAAAATGATTAAAAATAGCTTCAAAAACGCAGAGAAAACACAGCTATGATGCTAAAAGACACTTTCTTAAAGGTCACTTTTCAGTAAAGGGATTATGTGTGGTACTAATAACACACGTATAAATAAGCATATGGCATATGTTAGGATAAGATTTTAGATACATTTAAGAATGGAACCTCAAGGCAAACAGGATACAAAGTGCCATGATAAAAACACAGACAAGTTAAGGAAGGCGTGTGTGGTGTTAAGAAAGTGATCAATTTAAAAACAGCAACAAAAAAGCTAAACAAAACCTCCTGCAGTGAAAGGCACAAAGGCACCCCGAGTTATAAGAACATAATCTTTGGCGATTTTAATATAAGCCGCTGTCTTTATCAGCGTACTTCAAACAGAAAATTCCTCTGAAGCTCATCACGTATGAGGAGACCAAGGTAGAGAAATAATAGGCTAAGAAGGCAGGAACACACTGCGTGTCCAACAGGGAGGCACTGGTGGGTGCTTTAGGACAGCTCTCCCACTCGCCTGCTGCACAGATGAGGGGCCACAGGGAACAGGTACGAGTATCTTCTTTCCCTACAGCAGGTCTCTCACCAAAATTTACAGGGAGGAACATAGGAATGGGTGTTTAGGGGATGTTTCTGCGATGCACAAAAACCCATCAGGCAGATTAGGTGCATGTGTGTGTGAGGACTGTGAGACCGGTGTGCACCTCAGCTGCACCACAGCAGCTCCAGGTGGAGGGAAGGGGCATGCAGGTCAGGGCAAAGGAGATTACAAAGGTATAGTGGGTGCTAGAAGGCGGTGAGCGATGAAAACCAGGTGTTTAGAAACGAGCATAAGCGGCACCAAGATGTATGTTTGCCAAGGGCTCTGTGGGGACCTGGTGCAGGGCAGGGGCTGAGGGCAGAGAAGCCGGGACGGCGGAGGGAGGGAAGGTGCCAGGCACAGGCTAGAGGAGAGCAGGGCAGGGCAGGGCAGGGCAGGGCAGGGCAGGTGGGGTGGCCTGGGGGCCCGGTACCTGGGCGTCTTGGCAGCGGCGCTCTCGCGGCGGTCCAGCACGCCGGGCACGCAGTTGGTGAGCTCGGTCCAGTCGGCGTGCAGCCCGCAGCTCCAGCCCGTGGAGAAGCGGGAGAAGAGCCAGGTCTCCCTGCGGTTGGGGCGGTAGCAGGTGCACTTCTTCTGGCCGGGCCGGCAGTCGCAGGGCACCTCCAGGCGCACGTTCTGCACCAGGTGGCGGCCGAAGGTGGTGCCGCCCGTCTTCTGGATGTGCAGGAAGACGATCACGTCCTCGCCCTTCATGTCGAAGGCGAGCTCCCGCTCCAGCTCCCGCACGGGGAAGTAGTACTTCTTCACGTAGTGCGGGTCCGGCGTGGGGAACAGGTCCGGCTCCTCCGCGTAGGAGCGGCCGCTGGGCGACCCCAGGCTGAGCCCCGGCCCCACGTACTGGTACAGGATGAGCATGAAGCACACCGACACGGCCACGATCAGCAAGAACTTGCTGGTCCTCTCAACCATGGTCCTCCCCGCACGCTTCATGTGTCACCATCTCCCAGGGCTGCCGGCGCTCAGCAGACGGCGGCGGTGCCGGGGGGGCGGGCGGCGGAGCCGGGCGCCTGTGCCAGCCGCCTCCCCCCTGCGCCCCGCAGCGGAGCCTCCCCGGGGGCGGCCGGCCGCTCCCCGCCTCGCCTCTCCTCTCCTTTCCTCGGCTCCTCGCCGTCCCCGCCCGCCCCGGCAGCGGGGCAGGGGCAGCCCGCAGCCAGGCGCTGCGGAGGGGCCGCGGCAGAGCGGCTAACTCGGGCGGAGGGGCGGGAGGGGGCGGAGAGGGACCGGAGCGCAGAACCAGCCCCCTCCCCGCCCCCCGCCTCAGGAAGCCAGCCCCATCCCGCCGCTGCGCCCCGGCCCCGGCGCGGCAGAGCCCGCCCGAGCCCGAGCCCGCCCCCGCTGCCGGCTTGCGCTGGGGCCCGGCCCGGCCGGCCCGGCTCGGCTCGGCTCGGCCGGCAGCGAGCGCTTCCTGCCCGCGCCCGGCATGCACAGCGCCCGCCGCCGCCCGCGGCTCCGCCCGCGCCCGCCCGGCCCCCGCTCCCCTCACGGCTCCCCTCACGGGGTCGGGGCGGGAAAGTTTTGTCAGCGCCGTGCCTCGGGCTGAGCGCCCGGGCGGCCTCGCACCCCACGGGGACGGTGCCACGGGGCTCGCTCGCAGTGCAGGAGCCCCAGCGGTTAAGCACAGCGCTGCCCGGCAGCTGCCAGGTGCAGCCCTTGCTTGCGGCAGTGCCCTGCGTGAGGGGGGCAGTGAGGTGACAGCCACCATCGAGGCAGGAGTCCGTGTCGAGTTAATAACAGGAGCAAGTGCCAACTTCTAGCAAAATCTCCAGCTAAGATGCTGCATCCCCCGTACCTGTTTCTGTTGGTGACAGTTGTTCCCAGTACTCTAAGATAGAAGTTCTGCCTCGATTTTTAGCACCCACCCTTAAAAAAATCCCACCAGATAATGCTTTTTAATTCAAGTTGCGTTTTGCAACAAGACAGCATGTGTGTAGATGAGCCATTGTTAAGCACTGTGTCAAATTTTAAGGGCTTAGGAGGAAATGAGATCCCAGATTTTCATTTGAACTCCATGACTGATAAATCTGCTAGATTTGGAGATGGCTGCATCGCTCACGAGTTGTGGAGCCCCAGTGAGTTATGCAGTTCTTCCCAAACAAGTAACGATAAAATGTTTATAGCACCCAAAAGCATCATATATTGTGCTCATACCATTTTTTTGTTTGATATTTCCCTCTTAAAAGCCTGCTTCTGATTCGCCTCTTTTCATGTAGGCTACTAACTCCAGAAACAATGATGTCATTCTGATACACAAAGTTCGGCAGCATCCAGCAGCCTAGTATGAACTCAGTTTAAAGGTTTGAAATTTATATTTTGATTTGGGAAATACAGGCATATATATATGTGAGATTTGTACACATTTGGGCTATACACCGCAGTACAAAAAAGCAGTCCAGATTTTAGTATTGCAATGTATTTGCCCATGGTTGTAAACATACAAATACTTAGAAATGTCCAATATGGGCTATAAAAGATAAACGTACCACAAAGGAAAATATGGAGAAACAGTTTTCTTTGCCGCAGCACCTTCCACCCAGCAGTGTGGAACAGCCAACACAGTGGAAGTGGTGGGAAGACATGTGTCTTTCTGATAAGCGCCCACACACAAGAAGTACAAGGCATCCTGCCTAGGAGATGCTGCTAAACCAAAGCTCTGGGACCAACGCTTTCATTTTTACCGAAATGCTGTGGAATCCTTCCTTGCTAATTCTGCGTGGCAGAAATGCTGGTATTTCAAAGCTGCTTACTGCTATGACTCGCCTAAGATGATCACTTAAGCAAATACTTAAATCAATCCTTATTTTTACTTAAGGTAAAATTCCACTGAAAACAGTGACAAAGTAGTTCTTTGCTACACAGGGAATTATACACCAAGTGCTGCATCCATGCTAATTTAGACCAGAATTTTTCTTAAACATGGGAAGATCTGAGCAGAGTTAAAATAGGAAGATTTACTCTTTCTCTAGCCATTCCACTTCAAACGGGGCAAAGAGATGGGAAATTAAAATAATAATAATAAAATCATGTTGTTACTGTCACCTCTGCCTGCTTATTCTCTGAATTTAACTAGACCATGCGTTTAGCCATTACTGCTCATCACAAGATCAATCTTTCTCTCGTAGGCCAGACCTCACCAGGCTTTCCTGTGTCTCATCTGGGATTCATCATGGTAAGTCTGACTAGCTCCAGGAGCAGACCTCTGTTTCCTGTGAGGCAGTGAGAGTGACAATCTGCAATCACTGAGACACCTAAAAACTAAATGTTTATGTAGAATGAAAGTGTTCTGGAGCGGGGAAAAAAAAAAGTTTGTATTGTTATCTCTAAACCGTGAGCAGGGGAGACACATTTCAGATTTCATCTCTCTGCATTCTTCTAGGCAAATGCAAACATAAATCCCCCCCTTAGCCCACTGAAAAAGTTCTTCGACCTTTTGGTGTCTGTCTGATCCTTTGCACTGTAGGTTGGACAAATAAGTTTTGCAGTCCATTCCTGTCATAAATCCTGCCCCCATCTGTTTAATGGCTTAACTTTCAGTCATTCAACTGTACGCTAGGATCCACTGTGTCTCTTCCCTGTTTGTACAGCCCCTGTTAAGTCACATGGAAATTCTCTTACTGCAGCCCACCAAACGTCCCTTGTTCCTCAAGCAAGCCTCAGATAGTGATACTCCATCTCAGAATTCGTAACATTTTACAGTCACCTTTATGGCCAGCACAAAGGTTATATTAGACACTACATTTAACACTCACAAGCCATCTGTTTAAAAATCGTGCAAAAGCCTGAGGTCACCCTGGCATCGACAACTGAAGGTCATGTTCCATTTCAATCTGAACTGATGCAAGTTGGATTTTGGAGTGGCTGGAAAAGTAAATCCCATCTTAGGTGCTTGGAGATTAAACCTCAGCATGGACTCCATGTGTTTTACCTTGTTTTTCAGCATGGCTTCCTTTATTCTGTGCTTAACGCTAGACAGAAGACCAGTTTTAGCAATGTCTCAAATTACTCATTTATACTAACGTAAAACTGAGATATCTAGCAAATTTCCACTCCCAATCTGTCAGAAAGAGCAGAATCTCTCCTAATACAAGCAAATTCAAAGACTGTGTTTGGCTTTTTCAGAGGAGTCCAACTGATACAGGACTATAAATTCCATTGATTCTCAGTGATTTTCATATTTCCAAGTCTCTTCAGGTACATTGGAAAGGTCTATTATTTTTGTACATTTCCTCACAATAGTCCGGATCTGTGGAGGTATTAACTTTCAATTTACACTTTAGAAGAAGTCAAACTGAAGTCAGGCTTATGCTAGTTATGTCACCTAAAGTTGGTCTATATTCAACCATTTTCCCAATCAAAAGCAACCTAGACAGCTAAGCTGCCACTCATGACTTATTCATGGTAAGATTCTGCTGGGAGTAAGATACAAAGATTAGAGATCTTCTTACAGATAACAACACAAAATATACACAAGTTTTGCATAGCAGTCGAAAAGTGTTTTATTGCGTGCTGCTGTCCACTGGATGCCTGAATCTTTAGCTTAAGATCTAATGTAATATTTTGCTTTATATCCCATGGGGGCTATGCTTTCCCTGCCAGGAAGCTGTTAAGTAGTAATTTTGCTTTGACTTGGAGCAAGGAGAGCCAATGCAAAGCCATACTGGCTTACAGCAAGGTGCAGTACCGTGTATTCACCTGGGAGTCCTGAAGGCCTTGCTCTGGGTCCCAGCACAGCAGCCTGTCCCTTCCTGCTCTTTCCAAGTAATTGCAGAATGCAGGGACTGAGCCTTCAGACAGCTTAGCCTGCATCCACACTGTTACTGGCAGCAAGAGCAAGCCGTATCTATGCTCAGCACTTAGACCTGTAGGATGGGACAGGTCTGCTCTGGGGTAAATTACTAATGCATACCTGAGCTTGAGGTTTATGTATTTGCAGCTAGAAATCAGATGAACAGCAACATCTGAATTAATAATGAAGTGAAGACAAACCTAGATATAGTGAGAGTGGACAGCTTATTACACAAAACCACCCATGAGAAAACAGGAGTAGGAAATGTGTAAACCACATACCGCTTCTGCCACCAAAACCTCAATGAAGTACTTATCTCAGAGCCTAAATAAATAAATACTAGCTTTATTAGGCAGGGGGAGTCTAAAGGCTTCTTGACACTGAAGTTCCTGCAGTTTACTGCAAACTAGTATAACACAGCTAGCCAAAGCAGAAATAATCCTCTTAAACACTTGAAAATCCTAAAAAATACCTCAGTAAAAGCACCGAAATAGTTCTACTACTCAATATTATGGAAAAAAAAAAGAGTATATTTATTTTGTTTCCTGAGGAAAAGCTCCCTGTTCCCCCAAGTAGGTTAAAGCAAACCATTTACCTTGTTCATTCCAATCTGGATTATTTTTCCCCTGCTCCTTTGGCTGATTAGGAAAAGTGGGCATACCATTCTCTCATTTGCCTTGGGGATATGCATGTAACACAAACCAAGTGAATGGTGAGGAGTCACAGGATTTAGCAGTTGGCCTGTAATACCAATACTTAGGCCTATGGCAAAGTGTAGAACAGGGTTTCATAAAGTGTAGAAAAGGGGTTCATAAACTTATTTTCCTCATCCACTGCTGTTAGCAGCATCAGGAGCCGTTCCCAGCCATACACATTTGCACAGAGTGGCAGTGCTCACACACCATTTTCCTGTGATGTTTGTACTCCTAGTCATAAACCCATAACATACTGGAAGCACTGGTGAAAAGGATGTATAGCTTGGGTGCTAGCACCACAGGTTAGCCAGTGCAGCACCGAGCTCTTACAGCCAGTGATCACTGCTCCTGGAGTGCAGCACAGTTCTGTTTCAGTCAGGGAGCAGATACCGAATGATGCCAAACTTTACCAGACCAGGCAAATCTCGTTTTGGTTCCAGGGTCTTGCACTACTTCTCTAGGGCCACTGGAAAGGTTTCCTGTTTGCAAGAGACCAAAGACAGTCTCAGAAACATCGGCAGAAATTTGAATACTGAAGCCCCTAGCGGCTAACCTAAATGCAGGGAAGTCTAACTTCAGCACTGACAGAGATCAAATCTGCATTTTAGAACTGGGACTGCAGCTGAAGCATATATAGTTTCTAGGGTATTAATCCATCGAAGGGAGGAGTTTGTTGACTCATAAAGAAGGCACAAGATGTCAGCTGCTCCTTATTCAAACTCTTTTTTTTCCTACTTGCATCACAACAGCTGCAAGATGATGAGGTCTGGGATGGACGGAAAGGATAAGCTTATTTGTTGGTGGCATATTATTAGCATTATTACCCATTTGTATATGGGGATTAAATAAATGTAAGGGGAGGTTGATTTCTACAAGATTTGACTTCCCCCAGACTCTCTCTAATACAGCAGCTGTCCACTGTGACATGCCTGTTAGCAGAGAGAAAGGATAACCATTTCAGCCTTGCACTGTGAAACCCTAAAAACACAAACGGGACACAAACTTTTGATTTCTGGTACGGATATTAATCTCACATATCTAGAAAGACTAAGAAGGTGGTCCCTCATCGTGGAAGGAAGTCAGTGCAGCCAGCAAAATTTCTGCATGTTGACTAACTACAGACAGAGCAGGTGTCTAGACAGTCAGAAAATGGTGCTGGAGTTAGTTCTGTATGAACGGCTTAAGAGCCTTCTGCAGTGAAACAAAGCTTAAGATCGGCTCTTGGCCAAGCTTACTGGCATGCAGATTTTTATTTTTTATTTTTTTTCTGTGTGGCATAACAACCTAAAGATTATTGGAAATACTTTTTTCCCCTCTCTTCATTAAAAGCTGCCATGTATTAGGAATAGACTTGTCTCTGACATATAAATGGCCTGTGAACACATACACTGTTTTTTAATGTTTTATCCCGTCAGTTCCTTGATCTCGATCAAAAACCTGACAACTCAGTCTGGAAATTGCAATTCTAAAACAAACGTGCTTATGGGATTTTGACTTGATCTCTCTGTATGATCCTCCAGGGAAATAACTAATTAGAACAGGCATTCATTCTTCCCTGCTGATGTTGTAACATTATTGGTGAACAGACAAAGATGGGATGCTAAAGTTCATGAGAACTGAGAGAGATGCACAAAAGTAACTAACCACTTTCCCCTGTAAGCCTCAGGTAAAGAAGCTATATATTGAAGTAAGTAAACTGAAAGCTATACAATAAGCTGGCTCTGTAGCAATCATATGCTTACATATGTGCAGTTAACTGGAAATGTGTACAATTCAGCTTTGAAGGCTTCTAGATGAAGTCAACAATGTGAAGGTTGCAAGGAATTTGAAGCACACTGCTTAATGGATTAAAAGAGAAAGAGAGAAGAGAGAGAGAGAGAGAGAAAGAGGGGAAGGGAAGGGAAGGGAAGGGAAGGGAAGGGAAGGGAAGGGAAGGAGGAAGGGAAGGGAAGGGAAGTGAAGGCCCAATGATTGAATGACTTCCTTTCCTTTCCTGTCTTTCCTTGCCTTTCCTTTCTGCGCTTCCTGTAAGTTTCCTGCCTTCATTGTCCGTCCTGTCCTTCTGTCCTTTCCTTTCCGCCTTAGTCCCTTTCTTTCCTTTCCTTGCCCAGTTTTTGATAATCACAGCCTCTGCTTTGTGTCCACAGAATTAGCTCTTTCAATTTTGCTTCTCCTACACACAACATAGCAAAGAGTTGTGGAGTTGTAGACTTGGCAAAAAAAAAAGTCTGAATACTTTCTGAACAAATAAAAGCTGCTGGCTCAAAAATCACTTATTGTGGAAAAAAAATGTGCAGGAATAATAAAAAAATAAAAATCTTCCTTTTGTAATATTCAGGGCACTACCACAAAATTATCTCAGCGGGAAAAGAAAGAAATGGGAAGAAGTTGCACAACAGCTGCCTCTGTGCAGCAGGAGCTGTGTGGCTGAGAACCAAGAGATGAGCAGGAGCAGCCTCCCTGCAGTGCTGCCGGCCATGCACACGGGTGCCAGCACGCTCCGGCAGTGGTCTGGGTGCTGGCAGAGCGCTGGCACTGCGACCCCTGGGGATTTCCTGCAGCTGGGCTTCTCACCACGGCTGCGATTTTTGGCATCTTACTGAGAGAGTCTGCATAACAGATACCAGGTCAAGACTTGAGATGATGGGGAAAATTCAAGAGGACTGCAAGATCAAAATTAAGTCCTCTTAATTTATAATTAGAGAGAAAAGCTAACACAAAAAGAGCCCTGGAGATTTAAGTGTTTTTAGGCCACAGCAACAAGAAAATGGGAAGAAAAGGCTAAAAGGCCACCTGGCAGACAAGTTCTTGGCTAAAATGAAAACTGCGGGTCCAATGTCACATTGCAGGGCTGTAGTGTGAGGCTGCTTTCCTGCACTGCCTTTCAAGCTCACTTTTCTGGGTTGCTCACTCCGAGGCAGTACATCACCGCTTTCTGAACTCTGCCACCCAGTGACTTACCAGAAGGAGAAGACAAGTGATCTGGCCCACACTGTACTGGTAATGGAACTTTAATTGCATCAGACAACGCAGCGACTCCAGAGTGGATCAGCAGTAGCAGATCAGCATCCTGATAGAGGCACAACGGGGAAATAACTGTAGAACCAGCACAGCCTCTGGAGTGAGGGCTTATGTATTTCAAGCTCGATCTACTTAAAAAATTACCTGTAGTATATCATTTTATTTATTTATTTCATTTATTTTTGATTTCTACACTGAGCATCAGTGGTAGCTGGTGGCAAGGAGTTTTCCGCCTCTCCAATTTTTATTTAAATAAAAAGCCCTTGAAATAAGCATAGTATCTATAGTATCATAGTATCATATACATAGTATCTATACATAGATACATACATATAGTATATGTATGTATATATATATATACTATATACTATATACTACTATATAGTATACTATATATACTATACATATAATATATATACTATATATATATACACTATATATATACTATATATAGTATATACTATAGTATATACTATATGTATATACTGTATATGTATATATACTATATATACATATACTATATATATGTATATACTATATATAGTATATACATATATACTATACATATATATATATGTATATACTATATATAGTATATACATACTATATATAGTATATAGTATGTATATACATACATACTATATACTATAGATACTATGTATAGATAACATAGTATAACATAGTATAGATAACATAGTATAGATACATAGTATCTATACATGCAGTACACTGGTATTACAGTTGGCTGGAATGAAAGACTCATATGAACAACAAGAGGAAAAGTAAAATAAATTTGAGCCTACTAGTGTATACATATCAGAAATACCATAAAAATGTATTACTTTGTTTTAGTGGTAATACAGAAGCCCCAACTACTCTTTCACTGAGTCTCACAAGGCAGGCAAGCATAAAGTTGTCTGTGGTTAAAAACAAAACAAAACAAACAAACAAACAAGCTAACAGAGTTACACTGAACTTGTGCTGGATTTTGTTCCACATTTGATTCCTAGACACTGGCATTTTCAGTTATCTGATTCCTCCTTCTGCCACTACAAATCCAGTTACGTACTTCTATTTAAAATGTGCTGTAATAAAAAATTTCCTGCCTCATTCTCCTTTATTAGGAGGAAGAAATCTTACAATCAACAGCTGTTCACAACCAGAATTACAGGAGAGAACGCCACGTTGCTCACTGAGAGGATGCAGTGCTACCTTCTTTTTATTGTACCACTTTTCAACCACTGGATGATGCTGGATGGAAACAGGAGAAATTCCAAGACTTCTTTGTCACTGACAGTAAATGTAACCTAAGCAAAAGAAGTCCTGCCAATTTCTGCATGTTTTAAAGTACACCAACATATTGCTGTAAAACATTTATCAGAGAAAAGAAAAGAAACAGAATATATGGATAGTAACTTCTAGTTAATTTACCATGTTTTAACCTCTCACTTTTATTGTACAACTGTTAAAAAGAGTTTTAATGTTACTAGGGCCTTTTCTTTTAATTAGCTGTTTTAAGTATCTTCTTTTTCCAAGTTGGTAAATTTTTTTTTATTGTCAATCTAGTTCCTTACTTCCTTGTACTGCAGTGAGGATTAAAACTTGTAACAGAGACTGCCTTGTTTGAGGCTTTGTTGGAGACAGTGCAATGGGCCTGTGCTGATGACATGGGGCTGTGCTCTGCACGCTGCTGTAACACGTGCTGTGTCATTGCCCTTTTCACAGGTGGAGCTGATGTGCGTATACTTTACCCTGTGATAAAAAACTAATGTTGCCTTCCTTAACTGAAAGAGTATTACTTCCTAGCAAAAGGGAACACTTTCTTCTTGTTTATAAAAGTGTTATAGGAATGTCCTTAGTTAAAAACAGAAAAGCTGAACTTATGAAAATATGGCATGCTTTTCAAGGAAAATTACTTTTTCAAATTCAGCTTCCTCGATTTGCTGAGAATTTTCATGAAAAGGCTACTGAAATGGGAGACAAGAAATCATTTTTCACGCTGATGGAAACAGATACTTGCACAGTTGTGCTTCCCAAAGGAACTGGACAAGACAGTGTTTAAGCACTTCCTAACAGTATGTAAGAGATTGTTGTGGAACAAGACTAAACTTAAGGGAAAGGTGTGTTACGGAATGGAAAGGGAAAGATTTATCTTTCTAACCAAAAAATTAAACCTTTCCAGATACCTGTCACTTTGGTAACCTCCTGGAAGACAACTCCTGAGAGCACTGAGATAAGAACCTCTGAACAGAAATGTACTGTTAATACCATTCTTGCAATGGAAATGACATTAAGTAAAATGAGTTCTCGTAGGCAGGATATTGTTCAAAATAAAAGTATTATTCTTTCTAGTTGGTGCTTGGCAGTATAGTGAAATTTATTAGAACAGTTTCCAGTGTGGATATTCTTCTATAATAAAAATGATTTCTTTTTGAATAATGAGTTTGCTTCAAATGCAAATGCAGAGTAGCTTGCTTTGGTATAACATCCTCTACCCCCCCCCCCTTTTTTCTAGACCTGTGTTGAAATTCTTACTGTTTCATTTACTACCTATATATAAATATGCTGTTAGCTTGTTTAAGAAGTAAAGGAGATTATAGAAGTGCTCCGTTTTTAGGGAGAACCACTTTATGAATAACACATCTTCTGTTTTAAGAAGCATAGCCCAGAGACTGGGGCTTTGTGTCAGTGTTAAACTATTGCATCAGTTCAGAAGAGAGACTGACATTTGGCTAGACATTTGCATTACTAAAGTTTGAAATTCTTTACTATGAGGGTGGTGGTGCCCTGGCCCAGGCTGCCCAGAGCAGCTGTGGCTGCCCCATCCCTGGCAGTGCCCAAGGCCAGGCTGGATGGGGCTGGGGGCAGCCTGGGCTGGTGGGAGGGGGCCCTGCCCAGAGAAAGGGGCTGGAGCCAGGGGTCTTTGAGGTCCCTTCCAACCCAAACCATTCTGTGATTCTATGATTCTGTGAAATGCAAAACAACAGGAAAAAAAAAGGGCTGTTTAGAAGCAAAAGCCAAGCCGGATATTTACAATGCACTTTTAAATCAGAATTTCCTCTGCCCCTGCTGCTGTCTTGGTTACCAGTGGACTTTCTCTTTAGGAAGGAGAGTGTGGGGAGCAAGGTGTTTAGACAGTCTAAGATACAAAACCAGAATGCTGTATATTGAAGCAAGAGCTTTAAGGCAGTACAAGTACACTTCTCCATGGCATCACTTCAAGGAATATGTGAATCTTTCTGATAACTACTGCTGACACCTATGAAAAGAATGTGAATGTTCTCAGTGAAGCAGAAACCAAAAGAGGTTGTGAGTACCTCATTACTATTTTTCAGGTAACCTGGCAAAAACATACTTGGAAAAATTCCACGTCATTCCTAGAAGTAACTTAAATCTTGGAGAAGGTTTTGTGCTGGTTTTACAGAAAGTCAAATAAGTTGTGGTTAGTACTTTGCTCTTCTTAGCCTGAAGGAGCAAACAATTGCCTGCTGATAAGGTCAAGCCTCCGTGTAGTGTTTTGTTGCTACTGAACTGGCAAGAATTCCTCCAAATAACTGTGTGCAATTTATTTCGAGAGAGTCAAGAATTCTGCATAAAAAAAAAAAAAAGAAACCAAAGGAGAAATGTAAATGTATGTAGACGGGCAGGAGACCATTTTCATTTTGATAAACAACAAATTCTGATAAGCAGAGAATGAAAAGTGTGAGGTATTTTGTTGCCACAGCTTTTATGCAGCTCTGCAAAAAATATGTGAAGTAACTTGGTATAATCCAGGCTTTCCATTGTCTGCATGAAGCATGTAAGGTTGCAGTTGACACACGGTTACAAATACACTGCCAAAGTGGATGCACTCCAGCAGCACAGCCGTGTCAGCAGCTGCACGCCCTGGACTGACAGTACCTGGTGTCCTCTGCCAGCGCAACCTCTGACAAAGAAGCTCGGCTCCAGGACAAAATAGCCCAAAGTGCACATGCTCCAGCACCAGGATTACAACAGCAAATTGAAGTGAAGCCATCTAGAGTGTCATCTCTTTGACGACAATATTGGTTAGATCGTAAAAATCCCACCTTTAGTAGCATTTGTGTAGGCATACTGGTAGCCTGAGCAGATGAGCCCCTCTGGCTTGACAGCAATGTTCACAGATTTTATAGCAATTGTACTGAAAACAGCTGTGGAAGGCTAGTTCTCAGACACAGGTTGGCCTAGCAGCAGTTGGAGGGCAGCATACACACATATTGTCCCAGCAATACTGTTTTTCTGGCAGAAGCCACAGAAGGAAAATGTGCTCTTTTCTGGCACCCTCACACTGCTGAATTGAAAGATGTTGCAGAGGGGAAGATCAAAATGGGAAAAGCAAAAATCCTCTTTCATTATCTCTCCTCCAAGGTCCCTCAGGATGATTTTCTGCAAATAATTGTCATTCTATGAATGTGTTTGGTGCAAGGTACAGATATTAACTGTACAGGAACTGTAGGAATAACTGTTATGGTTTCCATACCTAGCTGCCCCTCTCACTTTTTCCCAATATTTTTGAGAGGTATAAGCTGAACTGTAGTAACTCTGTAGTGGGTTTACGTGGCAAGGTTTTGGTACCAGAGGGCTGCAGGGATGGCTTTTGTGAGAAAAATCACCTGCCCATGTTAGGTAAGGGCCAGTCTCAGCTGACTCCAAAGGGACTGGCTCTGCCCAGAGCCGAGCCAGTAAGTGATGTGGTTTGTGCCTCTGTGAGAACAGATTTAGGGAAGGAGAAAAAAAACCTGCTGGACAACAGCAGCTGGTAGAACGAGGAGTGAAAAACAGAAGGAAACTGAAGGTGAAGAAGGAGGGGGAGAGGTGCTCCAGGCACCAGAGCAGAAGTTCCCCTGCAGCCTGTGGAGAGGCCCCTGGTGCAGCAGGCTGTCCCCCTGCAGCCCATGGAGCACCACAGTGGAGCAGGGCTCCACGCTGCAGCCCGTGGAGGAGCCCCCGGTGGAGCAGGTGGCCCTGCACTGATGGAGGCTGCAGCCCATGGAGAGCCCCCGCAGGAGCAGGCCCCGGGCCGGAGCTGCAGCCCGTGGAGAGGAGCCCAGGAGCAGGGGGCCGGGGGAGCTGCTGCCCGGGGGGGACCCAGGCTGGAGCAGTGTGCTCCTGAGGGATGGAGCCTGTGGGACGGAGCCATACTGGAGCAGTTCTTGAAGAGCTGCTGCCTGTGGGAAGCCCACCCAGGATCAGTTCGGGAAGGACGGCACCTGTGGGAGGGACCCCACAGCACAGGGGATGAGAGAGAGTGAGAAGGAGCAGTGGAGACGAAGTGCTATAGACTGACCATAGCCTCCATTGCCCTGTTCCCCTGCACTGCTCAGGGGGAGGAGGTGGAAGAGAGTGGATGGGGGGGAAAGAGTTTTTGGTTTCTTTCCTTTGTTTCTCACTTCTCTAGCTTGCTAGTAATAAGCAATAAATTTTACTAATCTCCCTGTGCTGAGTCTGTTCTGCCTGTTACGATAATTGTTAAGTAATCTCCATGTTCTTATCTCAACCCCTGAGCCCTTTTCATCATATTTTCTTCCTCTTTTCCTTTGAGGAGGGAGAGAGAGATCGGTTGTGGTGGAGCTCAGCTGTCCACCTGAGTAAAACCACGACACTCACAAAACAGTAAGCTGGCATTGATTTTATCCTCCCCTAATATGTCAGCAATCATTTGCAATTATTTGGGAGCTCGTTAAATAACAAAGCTTTCCTGCACCAGGGTGGAATAGGAGCCTCTGTGGAAAGCATAATATAGGCAGCTGAGAGAAGAAATTATCATAACTCGTCCTATATAGGCTATCCCCTTAAGAGTTATAGCTCCAAAAGATGAGTCTAAAACATACAGCCATTTACCCTTAGGGAAAAACAATTTGGACAACTTTTGTGACATGCTGGAGAAATGAGATGGTAATGTTAATAACAAAAATGAACACCATGCTTTCACTCTAGATAAACCGTTAAGTGTTCTGGACACCATCTGAAAAAAAAAAAATCTTGTGGCTGATATGTGCCACTCTCCCAGGACCAAGGTAAGGATACTGATGCTCTGCAATGTATTGCCATCCTCTCAATAGATACATGTTAAACCATAAAAAGACCTCACTGTAGATCCACATGCTAACAATTCTTCGCAGAAAATTTCAACATATATATTTAAAAAATGTAATGTGAATATAGGAACATCTTAAACAGGCTGATATGGAAGCATGCAACCACTAGCAAGTGATAAAAAAGCCCGTTTTTTGAAATGGGTTTAGAAAAACATTTGTTCATGAGAACTGAAATCTATTATCAGTAGCTTATGACCTTGGCTAATGGATGATTATCACAGTAACAGACCAGAAACTTTTCAGAAAGTATCATATAAAGAGAAATATTTGAACTAAAGCCATATCACAATGTACTGCCATATCCTTCTCTGCAGTGTGGTATGCTTGATAATCATTGGATGTCATGCCTAAGTTTACTAATGCAGGACAAATTTTATGAACTTTGGGCTGTAAGGCATGACATGTGCCAAAATATTGGCCTGAACAACTGCCCAAGTCCCCGATTTTGTGCTGTTTTGCCATAGTCCTACAGGAAGCACAAACCCTATGGTTCCTACCCTATAGCAGCTTCATGCACAGGAAATGCAGACATGTATAGATGTGCACTTAGCTTAAGACACTTGAATATCTAATCTTTTCAGTTGGCAACTACTGGAACTCGCTGAGAAAAACATCATGAAAGATTCTCAGAGGTCACTTCAAGAGAAGAGCTAGTTCCAATGAAAATAGATTTGTATCTGTCCCAACTGAACACAAGAAGTTTAGGATATAACAAGACAGGTCAGAGTACTATGAACTACCCTGGCCTTTACAGTATGGTGAACTACACTATTGGACCCAAACAGTCTTTGATTCAGCATTCTCAAAGGTAAATTTAGTTTTCATGAGTCTAATTGAGATGCAGCAAGCTTGTTTCCCCTTTAAACTTTTAATATTATCACACTATCCTGAATAAGAAAACAAAGTTATCCCAAATTAATAGACCTGTATGAACAAAGCCACCCCCCAAATAGTACCACATGTTTATGTTAAGCAGCTGGCAATCATACAGTTTTACTAAGTTTATATTTTACTATTTTTCCTTTATAAGTACTCATTCTGCATTATTTAAAGTCCTGTCATCTTTTGACCTTGTTCTAATCTCTCTTCAATTCTATCTCTTAAAAGAACAGAGAGTTCTCTTTTGCTATCTGGAGTTTTGCATCACTACTCATTTTTAATGGTGCATCCTGTTGATATATTAAGTTGAGAACATGAATCAGTTGATTCTCTATCTGAATATTTTTAGCATTTTCTTAGCAGCTCATCTTATTCCAGACACTGTGTCTAAAAGTCACTGAGATTAGGCTTTTAGATCTTGCTCATTTTTAATGGGTTTTATATTTC